TGCTGAGTGTTGTGTTGCACACGTATGTTGTGTTACACACACATGTGCACTCTGAGCCCATGTTGACTGTTGCGTGGCGTTGTGTTGCACACGTGTTACATGGTGTGTGTTGTGCACGTGTGTGCACACCTGGTGCATGTTGAATGTTGTGTTGCACACGTATGTTGTGTTGCACACACGTGTGCGCTCCTAGCCCATGTTGGCTGTTGCATGGTGTGTTACACACGTGTTACATAGTGTGTGTGGTGCACATGTACACACATCGCGTGTTGAGTGTTGTGTTGCTGTGTTGTGTTGCACACACGTTGTGTGTTGTTGTTGCACACGTGTGCACACTGTGTCGTGTTGTGTTGCACACATATGGTGTGTGGTGCATGTTGTGCGCGCTCCTCGTCTGCATTGACGTGTTGCACACGTGTTGTGAGGTGTGCACGTGTTGTGTACATGTGGTGTGCACACCCAGTGTGTGCTGTTGCACACGTGTTGTGCTGTGCGCACATGTGCACGTTTAGTGTGTCGAGTGCTGTGTCACACACGTGTGTTGTCATGTGTTGTGAGCACGTTTGCACATCTCATGTGTTGAATGTTCTGTTTGTTGCACGCGTGTGCACACCAGTGTGTGTTGTTGCACACGTGTGTTGTTGAGCACATGTGTGCATTCCTAGTCCGTGTTGGCTGCTGCGTGGTGTTGTGTTACACCTGTGTTACATGGTGTGTGTTGTTGCACACGTATGTTGTGTTGCACACACGTGTGCACTCCTAGCCCATGTTGGCTGTTGCGTGGTGTGTTACACACGTTACATGGTGTGTGTGGTGCACACGTACACACACCACACGTGTGTTGAGTGTTGTGTTGACATGCGTTGCACACGTGTTGTAAATTCTGTTGTGTGTTGTGTTGCACGTGTACACACTTTGTGTTGTGTTGCACACGTGTGTTGTGTGGCACGTGTGCACATTCCTCGTCCGTATCGACTGCGTGTTGTGTTGCACACGTGTTGCGTGGTGTGTGTGTTGTGCACACGTGTGCACACGCTTGGCATGTGCTGTGTTATGTTGCACACGTGATACGGTGTCTGTGTTGTGCACACGTGTGCACTCCCAGTCTGTGTTGTGTTGCACACGTGTTACGTGGCCTGCACGTGTGTTACGTGATCTGCACGTGTGTTTTCCACGTGTGTGCACCTCACGTGGGGGGTGGCGTGTTGCACATGTGTTACATGTCGTGCAAATGTGTGTGTGGTGCATGTGTGTGTCTCAAATATCACACACGTGTTTCACTCCTGCATTGTGTTTTACACACGTGCACACGTCTGTGTTGACATGTTGCACACGTGTGTTCTGTGTTGTGTGAACATGTTTTGTTGGGTGTCGTGTGCACACGTGGTGTGTTGCGTGTTGTGTTGCGTCACATGCGTGTTGTCACGTGTTCTATGTTGTGCAAACATGTTTTGTTGCATGCTGTGTGCAAACGTGTTGTGCGCGTGCTGCACACGCGTGTAGCATGTTGTGGGCGTGTCCTGTGCGCGCTGTGTCACGTGCACCGTGCATGTGCCATGGACATGCGTGTTCTTTGCGTGTAGCGTGTTGTGCTGTGTCATGTGCACCACGTGTGTGCACATGTGTTCTTCACGTGTTGCATGTTGCGTGCCCACCAGTGTGTCACGTGTCGCGTGTCTGGGCTCATTTCCACGTGCAAAACCACTTTCTCTTTAGGGAAAAAAAATGGGGTTTTAGGGAAAAAAATGGGGTTTTAGGGAAAAAAAAATGGGTTTTTAGGGAAAAAAGTGGAGTTTTAGGGAAAAAATTTCCTTTTTAGGTAAAAAAGCCCCAATTTGGGGTTTTTAGGTGAATTTTTTTCCTGTACAATCTGGATTTTTCCCCCAAATCGGGCTCTTGGCCGGACCCTGACCCCACGGCCCCGCTGGAAAAGGTCCAAAACCAGGGAAAAATCCGAGATTTTCAGAAATTAAATGAGCAAAAAGCAGTTGAAATCATTTTTTTGGAAATTTTCTATAAAATTTTGGAAATTTTCTATAAAAATTTTGAAATGTTCTATAAAATTTCCTTTTTTTAAAAAAAATTTCTATAAAAATGATAAATGAGTGAAATAAAGTGGAAGAATTTAATAATTCAGACAGAGATTGCCCCAAAATTCCTGCACACGGGGGCGAAAAAAATGATTTCTGTGCATAGAATGCAAAAAAAAATCAGAAATTTTGGGTGTAGAGGAGAAAAAATGTTAAATTTTTGCCCAGAGAAGGTAAAAAAAATCAGAAATTTGTGCACAAGGTGCAAAAAACAATAAATAATCTGGAATTTGTAAGTGCAAAAGGAGAAAAATCCGAAATTCGTGTAAATGGGTGAAAATATTGTAAATATTTGCACGTAAAATGCAAAAAATTCAAATTCAGAGACACAGAGAAAAAAAAAAATAAATTGGTGCAGGGAAAGGGTGAAAAATCATCAAATTTTGCACAGGGAGGGTAAAAAATCCCAAATTTTGCCTGAAGAAGGCAAAAAATCCTAAATTTGTACGAATAAAGGGCAAAAAATCCCAAATTTGTGCCTGAAGAAGGCAAAAAATCCTAAATTTATACAAATAAAGGGCAAAAAATCATGAATTTGTGCATGAAAAAAGCAAAAAAAAAATATTTTTGCACACAGAAAGCAAAAAAATCCCAAATTTGTACGTAGAGAATTTTAAAAAAATCAGAAATTTGCACACAGAGGGGCAAAAAAAGTCAGAAATTTCTGCCCAGAGAGTGAAAATAAAGAATAAATTCATCCACAGGGGTAAGAAATAAGAATTTTGTGCACATGGACGTGGAAAAAAGTCATTAATGTGCACAGAAAGGCACAAAAAAGGAGAAATTTTTGCCTGGAGTGCAAAAAATCACAAAGTTTTCATAAATTTTGGCGAATTTTTCATAAATTTTGGCAAATTTTTCATAAATTTTGACAAATTTTGACAAATTTTGACAAATTTTGACAAATTTGAAAATGCAGACCAAAAACCCATTATTTTATACCCATAGAAGGCAAAAAAAATCACCAATTTTTGGGTGTGGTGTACCCCAAAATCATCGATTTTTGGAGAGCCAGGGCGAGAAATCACAAATTTGTGTATTTTATCCCCAAAACCTGAATATCCCCATTATTTTATACCCGTCGAAGGCAAAAAAAATCATCAATTTTTGGGTGTGGTGTACCCCAAAAATCATCAATTTTTGGAGAACCAGGACGAGAAATCACAGATTTGTGTATTTTATCCCCAAAACCTGAATATTTGTGTCTGGAAATGGTAAAAAATTGGTCAAATGAGGCACAAAAATGTCAAAATTCCTAAATTACCACCCAAAAAAGGGAAAAAATGGAGAAATTTCCCCCCATCTGGTCCCTGAACCCCCAAAAACCCCCCGAGGCCGCGGGAGAAACGGAGCCGCCGCCGCGTCCGGGCTGCGAGTTTATTGCTCTGCTGGAGGCTGGTGCCACCTTGTTGGTGCCACCTTGTTGGTGCCACCTTGTCCCACGCGGGTGACAGGGCCACCAGGGATGGTGGGGATGGTCCTTCTCCTCCAGCCTCTGGATTTATCTGCAAGAAGAAACCAAGAACTCAAGAGGAGGAAACGATTTGCTGAGTCATTCTTCATTTTTTTTGTTGTTTTTTAGGTTTTTTAACCCAAAAATCCAACTTACAACCAACAGTTGTTGCTGTCGGGGACCTTGGGCACCTCGGTGGGGACCCCGGTCACCTTAAATTCATCCACTTGGAAGACCCAACGGCCGGGAACGTTGACGTTGGAGGTCTTGGTGATGTTGATGATGGCTTCGGTCTGGGAACCGGGGATGTTGTAGAAGTTGGTGTCATCTCCACTGTTGAAACCGGCCTGGAAAAGGGACCAAAATGGAAGATTTGGAGAGTTTAACCCCAAGCGAAGGGTTAATGACGTGGGACAACCTCGTCCTCTTGGTGGTGGTCCCCAAAAAAATCCTTCTAGGTCAACCTCTCATCTTTGGTGAACATGGTGGTGTCCCAGAAGAACATTGTGGGTCAACCTTCAACATTGTCACCAAAAAATATCGTGGGTCAACCTTTTACCTTCAACATTGTCACCAAGAAACATTGTGGGTCAACCTCCAACATGGTCACCAAAAAAATGTCGTGGGTCAACCTCCTATTTTTGATATTGTCACCAAAAAATGTGGGTCAACCTTCTACCTTCAATGTTGTCACCAAAAAGCGTCGTGCGTCAACCTTCTATTTTTGATATTGTCACCAAAAAATGTTGTGGGTCAACCTTCTGCCTCCATCATAGTCACCAAAAAATGTGGGTCAACCTTCAACCTTCTACCTCCAACATTGTCACCAAAAAATGTTGGTCAACCTTCTACCTTCAACGTTGTCACCAGAAAGTGTGGGTCAACCTTCAACCTTCTGCCTTCAACATTGTCACCAAAAAACGTTGTGGGTCAACCTCCCATCTTGGATGAACCTGATGTCATCCCAAAAAACATTCCAGGCCAATCTCCTACCTTGGCCAAACCTGGCATTGTCCTCCTAAAAATGTTCTGGGTCAATCTCTGACCTTCATCATCGTTATCTCCAGAAGATGATATGGGACAATGTCCTACCATGGGTGAACTTGGTGTTTCCCCCCAAAAAAAGACTTGTGGGCCAACCTCCAACCTTCATCACTGTTGTCCCCAGAAGATGATGTGGGACAACCTTCTCCTGGTGTTTTCCTCCAAAAACGCTGTGGGCCACCATCCTGCCATTGCCATTGTTGTCCCCAGTCTTGGATGAACCTGGTGTTGTCCCCCAAAAATAACCTTATGGACCAACCCATCTCCAGCATTGTCATCTGCTAAAGAAATTATGGGCCAAAGTTCTACCTTCAGTGGTGTTACCCCCAAAATTATCGTGGGTCAAAGTTCTACCTTCATCAAAGCTGGTGTTGTCCCCCCAAGAAACCCCCCATGAGTGGTCAACCACCTCATGAGTGGTCAACCACCTCCCCCATTCCTCAACCCCCTCCATCCCTTGTCCTCCAGCCCCACGTACATGGGCCGGGGTGCCTCCAAGACCTGTTTGAGGGTCACCATCACTTGCTTCTCCTGTAGTCCACTGGATGTCCCCATAGTTGAAGATGACGAAGGACGTCTTGGTGTCAGTGGTCAAGACGGCTTGGAAGGTGTTGCCCTGTGGAAAGGAAGGAGGAGATGACACCATCAGTGGTGGGATGAGCAGCCATGGGTGGGATTTAGCCCTGAGGGTTGCACGCAGGTGTAGACACCTTGCCCTGAGTTGTGCAAGGAAGCCATCTTGGTCAGGCATGGCCCATCCAGGTTGGTTTTTTGGGTGTCTATCTTCAGGTGAGTACTTTGGATGTTCTACCACAGAATGTTCTACCACAGCTTCTTTCTCTGCACGAGGTGGCCAGAGGAGATAAAAATAAAGGAAATTAATTGAGGAGGAGAAGTTTGGATCAAGCATCTCGAGATGATTGGGCTCCATGGGGTTGGGTGGACCAGCCAGGGCTGGAAGGTAGGACAGAAGAATGGGAGGACATATCCTCACCTTAGATGTCATGGAGGTCAATGAGTGGGTGGTGAAGACCAGTGGATGGGTCATGGAGGTCAATGAATGGGTGGTGAAGATCAATGGATGGGTCATGGAGGTCGATGAATGGGTGGTGAAGACCAGTGGATGGGTCATGGAGGTCAATGAATGGGTGGTGAAGACCAGTGGATGGGTCACAGAGGTCAATGAGTGGGTGGTGAAGACCAGTGGATGGGTCATGGAGGTCAATGAGTGGGTGGTGAAGACCAGTGGGTCATGGAGGTCAGTGAATGGGTGGTGAAGACCAGTGGGTCGTGGAGGTCAGTGAATGGGTGATGAAGACCAATGGATGGGTGGTGAAGACCAATGAATGGTCACATGTGTGACCTTCTCTGGCCTTCAAATCATAACTGTTGACCTCACCTTTTTGGTGGTAGATCCATAGTAGGCCACGTTGTCCCAGGTGGCCACGAAAGCCCAGGTGGCCGTGTAGGTGATGGTGGGGAAGTATTGGTTGATGTTCTCGGTGATGTGAGCCAGCAGGGCTGGGTCGGTGGTTTCTCGGTAGAAGATCTCCCCTCCCCGTACGTTGTCCACGTCCGCCCAGTACGGGGCCACGAAGGGGCGTCCATCAGCCAGGGGGAAGGGGTCGGGCGTGTACTGCTTGACTTTGGTGCCAAAGGAAAGGACGCCGTTGTTGTTCACCTGGAGAAGACACCAGGTCAACCTTGATGTCATGTCAACCTATGTTGGAGACCCATCATGTGGTCAACACCTTGACTTGGTTGTGAGACATCAGGTCAACCCTGAGGTTGGAGACCCATCACGTGGTCAACACATTGACTTAGTTGTGAGACACCAGGTCAACCCTGATGTGGTGGCATCCTACGTTGGAGACCCATCACATGGTCAACACGTTGACTTGGTTGTGAGACACCAGGTCACCCCTGAGGTTGGAGCCCTCTCACGTGGTCAACACATTGACTTGTGGTGTCCATCTCCAGGGGTTTGTGGTCCCCTGGAGATGGACACAGGTTCCAGATGTGGTCTTAACCATCGACTTCTAGATCTTTATGACCATGTTGGAGGTGTTTAGAGGTCACTAGTGCATCTCCAGGTCTATCAAAATGAAGGTGGTGATGGGATAGAACACCTTCGACTTGACCATGGACCTCCCAAAGAGTGGGAGGTCCAAAGAGTGGGAGGTTCTCCTGAAGAGTGAAGGTTCCTCCCAAGACCAACCAACCCTACCAAGATGCTTTGATGCACCAAAAAAAATCCTTCATATCACGGCAACCAGGTCAATCCCATGGATGAGGAGGAGATGAGGAGATGAGGAGGAGATGAGGAGATGAGGAGGAGATGAGATGAGGAGGAGATGAGATGAGGAGGAGATGAGATGAGGAGGAGATGAGATGAGGAGGAGATGAGATGAGGAGGAGGTGGGAGATGGGTTTTTTTGGTGGGTGGGTGACAAAAAATGGGGGAAAAGTTGGGAAATGGGGAGAGTTGGGAGGAGAACGTGGAGTTTGGACTCACGTACGTAGAGGGTCTGGTGCTCTTTGCCGTAGAAGGTGAAGTGGACGGCGAGTGGGAGCTTCTTCGACGTCCCATCATCGAGTTTAGGGTTCTTCTGGTCACCTTGGTCTGGACCATAAGGGTAGAGGACGGACCCTGCAGGACAGGAGAAGCTGAGATGTTGGAAGACTTCTCCATCCAAACCCACCCAACCATTTCGGGGTGAAACCCACCAGATTTGGGATTCTGGATTTTAAAATCATCAAGTTTAGGGTTCTTATGGTCACCCTTCTCCAGACCATAAGGGTAGAGGATGGACCCTGCAGGACAGGAGAAGCTAAGATGTTGGGAGACTTCTCCATCCAAACCCACCCAACCATTTTGGGGTGAAATCCACCAAATTTAGGATTCGGGTTTTTAAATGGGACTTTGTGCTCCAGGTTACCTAAAAATGGGGTTGATTTGGGGTTTTTTTTGGGGGGTGTCCAATCATGGTGGACTTGCCCCATGGGAGTTGCACGAGGTCCACGTAGATTTGAGGACAAACCGTGCAAAACTAGGACATCTCCTTCCCCACTTGAAGGAGAAACAACCCCATTTTGGGTGGAGATATCATCTATTTGGGCAAAACCCCCCCACACCAGCAACACCCACCTTCTTCTGACGCTGGTTGAACGTCCATCACAGCTCCTGGAGAAGACACAGTGGGGGGGAAAATGAACCCAGGAGCCACCAGCACCCACCACAACTTTCCAGCTAGAAAAAGCCTCCAAAGAAAATCAGCTTTTTGGGGGTTTTTTAGGGTTTTTTTAACTTACCGACGAGGAGGAGCAGGAAGGTGAAGGAGAAGGAGGAGGAGGAGGAGGAGGAGGAGGAGAACTTCATCTCAGCTCCCGTGAAATCGGGGAAGATCTGGCAAAATGGAACAAAACCCAACAGTAAGAACCTGAGGAGACACCTGAGGAGCAGCAGATCCCCAGAGGAGACACCGGCTGGGCGGAAACTGGTTGGATGCAGTTTGTGTAAATCAAGAAAAGTTTGGGGTTTAATCGAGAAAGTTTCGAGGTTTTTTTATTTTTTATTATTTTTTAGAAAATATTTTTAATTTTTATTTTTTTTTAGTTTTTAGTATTTTCCTTTTTCTCTTTTTATTCTGATTTTTCTTTTTCTCTTTTTATTAGTTTTTCATATTTTCTTTTTATTTTTATATTTCTCTTTTTATTCTTTTTTTTTGTTTTTATTTTGATTTTCCCCTTTTTATTAGTTTTTATAGGGTTTTATTTTTATTGTTTTTCTCTTTTTATTAGTTTTTCATTTTTATATTTTTATTATTTTTCTCTTTTTATTAGTTTTTCATTATTTTTTATTTTTATCTTTTAACTCTCATTCTTATTTTTATTGTACTCTTATTATTAATCTTATTTTTTATTGTTATTTTT